GTTCGGGCTGCCCGTTGATTGAATCTGCGTGGCTGTTTTTTTTAGCTTTAGTCCACTGGAGTTGGGCAGCCAGTAAATTTAAATAAATGTTTAAATGTGTTTACTACCCCCTAAGAAAAGAGAGATTAGCTTCTGAAGCATTTCACCTGATGCAGGGCATACCCCCTTACATTTTAAAGTGGACTAGGTCACCATCTTCTGCTGCCTGTGCAGAGACTGGATGGGGGTGGGGGGGGGTGTTTCAAGACAAAACAAAACAAAAAATAAGCAACTTCCAGAGGGGAAAAAACCTCAATCAATAACACTTTATTTTTAAAAAGCCAAAAGCACTGTGTGCCTGCTCCAAAACAACTTCTGCATCTCTGAGTAACAGAAAGCTGCTTTTCTCTCAGTGTGGTACAAGCCTCCAAAGCTTTGGTGGGGGGAAGGAGGGATTCAGCAAAGGGAAGATTGATACTGTGTTCATCCATTTCTAACTTTGTGCTGGGGTACTACCTGTGCCAGTCTCAAGACATCAGGAAAGCTCTCTAGCTTCTACCCTTCCTCAGAGGAGGATATATAGCAACAAGCAACCATTTCCTCGTTACATGATGCTAGATTTTTAAAAAATGGTTCAAATCCACCTTGGCTGTATCTACTGGCTGTATCAATATTTGCTCATTCTGTGCCAGGGAAACAATATGCTCAGTTGCAGAAGAACCAGTGGGGAAAAAAAGGCCCTAAAATGGGGAGGCAATATCCTCCTTCCTCTCCCGTTAGAGAAGCTGTAAATCAGTTGACATCGGAGAAGCACCCTTCACGTAGGGCAGGAAATAGTCAGCTGGATCTCATGTGACACACGCCCAATCTTTCTGCTTGCCAGGGCGTTCAGAGGGTCCCTACTGTCACACTAAATCTGGGCCAGGAATCGTCAGAGGCAGTGATCTGCTCCCACAGCATCTTGAACGCTCTGGAATCCTTGTTCTCTGTTCAAGACAAACAGAATAATGTAAGCTCTTCCTCTGTATCTTGAGGATAAGGAGGAAAATCTCAACCCAAATAACCTCCATAGATGCTGAAAACACCACCAAGCCCTCGGTATGGTTCTTCCTAGAGGACAGATCCTTCAGCTTCTGGGGGACAGGAGTCTGTGACCCATATCTATAAAATCTCAGGTGACAGTACCCAGCAGCAGTAGCTTTGGCTTTCCATTTGGTCCATTATACTTTGCTTGTGAGAAAAATGCACAAAAACCAAGATACATCAATGGAAAGTAGCCAAACTGAACGTTGTGTAGCAATTATCGCTACCTGCCACAAGAGTGTCCTGGAATGACGGGGAGCACAGATTCTGCCAAGAGAAGCAGCTGGAAGAGAGCCTGCTTTTCCCTTGCAAACGATATTATGCGACACTGCTGATGTAATAATGTACTGCCTTAGTCAAGATAAAACCTTAGTTTAGGAGTAACAAAATACAGAACTTAAAACCAACTGCGGTATTACCAGAACAAATGATAGATCTTAATATTTTAGATCTAAACATGGACTGAAGGGAACTTAACCTTCCACTCACCTCAGCAAGACCTCAAGCTCCTGCTTTATAGCACCCACAACAGGTGGTCCATGGTATGTAAGGGCTGTGTACATTTGGACTAAGGAGGCACCCGCCCGTATCTTCTCTAAGGCATCCTGGCCCGTGCAGACTCCACCCACGCCAATGATTGGTATGCGCCCTAGGAGCAGGAAGGGAACATTTACAGAAGGGAAACTGGGGCCACTGGCTCTCACTCCTCTCCTTGATCCCATTACCTTGGGTGAGAGAATACATCTCACGGACCACCTGGGTGGAGAGCTGTCGTAGGGGAGCCCCACTCAGCCCCCCCCCTTCACTGCAAGAAGCCCCACGAAGGGTCTCAGGACGGCTCACGGTGGTGTTGGTCACCACCAGTCCATCAATGCCCAACTGGAAAAGGAGACCAAAGGCAGAATCAGAGCAGCGGCACACCCATGGCCTCCAGTTTCTTCCAATCCTTGCGTGTGCAGAAGATGCTCTCCGACCAGCAGTGCACGCAAGATGGAACAAAGCAGAGGCTGCTAGAGTCAGGAGCTCACGGGGAAAATGACAGCCCCGCCCTCATCCTGGTGCTCAGTACCTCACTTGCAACGCTGGCAACGTCCTGTTTCTCTCGGCTTGTCAGGTCTGGCGCAATCTTCACCAGCACAGCTGGTTTGTGCTTACCTGGAAGGGAATCCCGCTCAGCAAGGACCTGCCAGAAACAGAGATGCTGCTGTGGCTCCAGGCCAAGGCCACCTCTCCAATGGGCAGAACAGGACCAGGACATGGAGCGGCTCACACTAAGGTGAGATGCTCTCGCTGGGGAGAGCAGAAGGAGCTGTACCGCCAAAGAAGCTGCTTCCAATGCTCAGGAAACCAAATGAAGGCAAAGGCTGCCAGGCCGGGAAGCGGGAATTCATTAACCACGCATGGACTGTTCCCTTACGAGGGCCTGAACTTCTTTTGCAGAGTGCTCAATGAGTAAGAGCAGGCAGCAGCTCAAAGTCCATGCCAGGCTGCTGGGTACAGACCACCCCAGCAGGGAGATCTCTAAGGAAGAGGGAAGCACTGTGAGGCCCAAGTCAGGACCCTACCTTTGTGAGTAGGAGGTGCAGGTCTGCTCTGCTCTGCAGGGCCCGCAGTCCTGGCGTGTTTGGGCTGGAAACATTCACCACCACATAATCAGCCAGCGGACCCAGCACACGCACTCCCGCAACGTAGTCAGCAGCTGCATCCACAGAACACTTGTTCTTGCCCAGGTTTATTCCAAGAGGCATCCCCGCTAAAAACAAAGGAAGTTCAATGGAGCAAATAGCCCTGAAGGCAGAGGCATGCCCCTAGGAAGAGCAGCATCGAGGGAGCACAATGAGCCTTGCGCGTTTTCCAATCGAATGACGGACAAGAGCCAGGGAGCACTCAGAACTCCCCCAACAGCTATAGGCAACTTCTTTCCTCTGCATCCTAAAGGCCTTGTACGAGCAGGCAAGCAGGCTTTGGCTCCCAGGCAGCAGCAGTGGCGGCGGCTTTACAACAGCAACAAACTTGTAACCTCGGAGCGGCAGCCAGCGGGCTGGGGGAAACCCAGCCGCCCCCCTGAGCGTCACGTCACAAAGGCCGCAGCGCTGCCTCACCTTCGCTGAGCTGGTGCTGAGCGACTTGCCGGGCTCGAAGCCTGCGCTCCACCACAGCGTGCCCGTGGCTGTTAAAACCGTACCTGCGAGAGAACAAGCGCTCCGGTGGGCTTCTCCTCCCGCCATACCAGCGGAGGTGCCCCCCCCACCTCTGCCTCCCCCGCAGCCCCACCTGTTGATGATCGCCTGGTCTTCGGGGAGCCGGAAGACCCGGGGCTTGGGGTTGCCTTCCTGGGGCTCTGGCGTGACACTCCCCACCTCCACAAAGCCAAAGCCCATCTTGTACAGCCCGTCCACGGCCTCCCCGTGCTTGTCGAAACCGGCG